CTTGGTGCCAATTTAAATTTACTGAGTTCTTCAACACAGGCATCTTTAAAATCTTGAGCTGTCTGCGATGATACTGCATCTAAATCAATATCGCTAGTATCACCCTTTTTCAACAATTCTGCTTGTTTCCTTAATAAATAAAGTAATATAAATAATGAATTTATGTTTCATGACAATGATAACTATTAATTAATTTACTTGCTATCAAATAGCAATGCTGTCATAAACTGAGTTATATATAAGATTCCATTCTTAAAAAAACTATATCTTATCTATTGAGTATCATAAGATAAAGATCTTTGAAAACTTTTCCTTAGGTATATTATAAAATAACATGCCCCATCTCTTTCCCAAATTAACTATGGCCTTTCTGCACAAAGGCTAAATGTAAATTGCTTAAATGATACTGTTTCATTCTTAAAACATTGACTTTAGCAATTATCTAAAGATTTGGAATATTCATAACTTTCTCAATATATAGGAACAATACTTAATAATTAATAATTAAGACTAGATGGTATATATGGATAAAATGAAGCACTGGCCTTATTTAAAAATTTGGTAATTCTAATAAAGTTCCAACGATTTTATAATATGAAGAAAGCTATAAAAATAATCCTGTCAGATGTCGAGCGTCATTGTCACAGTCTTGCCGGAGTAATCAGTACTAACGAGTTTCGCCCTTTCAAAAGTTTATTTTGAGGGTGCTTTTCATATGCTTTTTGGAGCCTTATTTACTGTTATTTGAAATTATTTCAATAAAATTCAACAAACTCATGCCTGTGCTAGTGATTTTGATCAATTTTATTGCAATAATAATTATTGCATATAAGGTTTTTTAATGGAATTTTTATAATATATTCATTTTTATGCACTTACGAACAAAATGACAAACAATGAACAACATGACATAGTTTCATAAACACTACATTGTAGTTCATTCAAGACCAAGAAAAAAAAATAGAAACCTGTCAAAGGCAACAGGTTACTTCCACTCCAACTACTTCTATAAACAGATCAAAAGATGCAGAGGTAAACAGAAGAGACTTGCATTTATTGCAAAGACCTCTTTTCCATTATGAACCCAACCAAGGTTGGAACTCGAAGAGGACTAAACGATTAATATATTTAAAACTAGCTGATCCGGCAAATGTTGTTTTGCTAAGTAAGGTATTTTCTAGATGAATAACTAATAATGAAAATAATATCTAGAGAATCAAAAAAATCAATACTCTAAGTGTGTAATAATGAGGTGTTATAAGAACAATAAACCCCATTAGTTTGTCTATATTTTGTCAATACAATCAAACTGGAAGTTTTATACACTTTCTATAGAAAACATGGCATGATCCAATCCAAGTCTTTTTTGGTCTTTCGACTTATATAATCATTACAAATTCCATTCAATTGAATATTGATTATGTTTTAAGTTTTTCGGATTCTTTTTGAATTCTGGATATTGTGTATAATTATAAATAATACTACTGAGCTTAGTCAAACATTTCAAATTTCTGCAAAGAAAGATAGAGAATGTATTTCTTCTTTGACCAGCTTTTTGAAAAATTTCAAGTAACATTCCATGAATTAAAGTAAACTTAATAAAAAGTATATATGTAGAGCAGGGCGGGGCACCAAGGTCTAATTTGACTTTGACATAAATTTCATAAATTATATTATGAACACCAAACCAATTATATCCCAACAAATAACACATTTCAAACAAACAATTATCTGACTACATTCAGTAAAACTGCCAGCTTCATTATTGTAGAAATGTGCTTCTTTTGCTGCATTTCAATCTAGATCATTTTACCCTATAGGCGAGGTAACTTGGAACGGCCAGGTGGCAAATTAGTTTAATGTCTTATTTTAATTTTAAAGGTATTTTACAAAATAATTACATTTTTAACTAATGCCAAAAAACTACCAACAGAAGAAAAGACTTTTAATATGGATTTTCAGATGTCAAAAACATTTGACATTTAAATTACGCTTCAACAAAAATGTTCAAATTTAAATAAATAATACCTCACCTTTTCCACAACCTACTGATTAGCACGAATTTTTCAAGACTAAGACTGGCCAAATCCATACAGCCATTTTAACGTTTTACCATCTCTAACATTTAGTCGAGCTCCACTATTATATATAAGAAGATTAGTATCTCAGCATATCCTTTACTTATGTCATTTTGTCCATATGATGTGAACAAAATGGTTTCATGCAATTAGATGATTTTTTTAATAAATTCGTTATTATAGTTCCTACTCAATAAAAAAGAACATGCTACTGGTAGTCGAATCTAAGACAACAAAATCATTGATACTGATTATAATACCATTGAATAAATATATATCGATTGAACAAAACACCATGTCATTTTGTCCGTACTTTGCCTGTAACTATGTTGAAACATAGTTGAAACATAATATGTATATTAACAGTTATAAAAACAAGTTCATGTTATGCTTATATTCAAAGGATATATATATATATATATATATATATATTTATTATTTAATGTGCGTACTTGTCATTTTCACGCCTGATTTCGAAATCTGATTTAAGACTGTTCTCAAATTCAACAGTAGAGAGATATTCTTGAAACTTGTTCTCTAAAGGGCCAAGCTCTCTTGTTACTATTGGAAGCCTTTCTAAGCAAATCGCACTTGCTAAATCCCAACGCAGTTTATTTTCAACTTGTGTACTAAATTCTAGAAAAGTCATGTATAAATTTATGAACCTTACTACTCAAATTATAACCTATAAGTTGCACAATACCTGTAATGAAAAGCTTGGTGCTTGTTTTAAAAATAAAAGGAGATAGTTTCAACATTATGTTACACTTAACTTCAAAAGTCAGATACAAGTTTTATTGAATATCTAGCATTATTTGAATGTATAAGCATATATTAATACTGTATTTTCTCTTGAATTATATATTTCAGAATTCAGACTTTTATTGGAACTGTCAATTTTAATTTAATACTTCACTCTATCGGCGATTTACGATACTAAGTCCAGACTGTTTGATTTAAAAGTGTGAATTTGAAATCAAAAACTTTAAATTTAACTGGTGGAGAAATGCAAATTGCTAGTACTTCCCGGACCCCAAATATACATTCAAGAAATAATATTAATAACTAATAAAAATTATTCAATAATTAATAACAATTGTTTCAAATATTTTAAAATAGATTATTAAATACTGTAATAAATATTTATTATATATGCATATGCTAAAATATGATTTTTTTAGAAATATTGAAATATTTTTAAATATTTGAACATTTTTGAAAAATAAGGATATTTTTTATTTTTTGAAATTTTGGAAATTTCTGAAAATATCGATTTTGATTTTAGAAAGTGTATGGAAATAATTATGTATATAAAAATATAAATTCCATTTGTATACAAAATGTATACAATTTATTGATTATAAAATTTCATGATATAAAAATAACAATTGTCACTTAACAAATGACTTAACAAATGACTTAAGTCATTTTATTTTATTTTGTTTCTGTCTCAATTGCCAAGCTTGATCCCCATAAATGTATATGTATATAAAAGTCGAATGATTCGTATTAGTCGTATCAAGTCTAACGATTGGGTTGAGTCGTATAAATGAAGTCTGAAAAAATCGATTTTGATTTTGATATTTTTGAAAATTTCGAAACATTCTAAAATTGTTGGAAAAAATCGATTTTAAAAAATGTATATACATATATATATTTAAAAGACGAATGATTCGTATGAGTGGCGCATGTATGAGTGGCGTATGAGCGCATTAATGTCGTATAAATGAAGTCTGAAAAAAAATCGATTTTGACTTTTATATTTTTGAAAATTTCGAAACATGATTTTTTGAAAAAAAAAAAACGATTTTAAAAAATGTATATATACTTGAAAGTCGAATAATTCGTATGAGTCGTATTAAGTCAAGTCGTAGAAATGAAGTCGGATGATTCGGTTGTGTGTTGTATTAGCTTTTGGTCGTATAAATCGAACGATTCGCATGAAAATCTACGAATACGGTTTATTTTAATTTGGATCAGAAGTCAGATGGCACAGATAAATTATAGTTTTTTTTAAATCTATTATATTAATAATTTTATATTTTAATATATCAAAATAAAAATATATATATTTATTAAAATATATTTTTATACATATATCAGACAGACAAATTGGCTGGTATAAAAAATCAGGGTAGTTATTTTTTTTATACGAGTTGATTCGAATCAAGTAAAATCTGATCTAGTTGTTAAGAACTTGATTCAAATAATTTGAATCACTTTATTCGACTTGGAACATATCACTATTAACTACTTTTATATAAAAAACAATGAATAACCATATATTTTGAGAAAAATATATATATATTAAAAAATTTAGGCAACTAAAAATAATTTCTAAATCAATCTATAAGAAATTTTCAAAATTTAGCATAGTAATCAAAATTAAGCATTTCAAAAAATGCAATTTTTTTAATTTCCTAAAGGATATTGAAAAACTTTCAATTTTAAAAAAATGAATAATAATTTTTGTAATTTATTATGCTCCTGTTTATTATTTTCCTATGTCAAATGAAATTAAAATTTAGTTATTTTTCTGAATTATAGCAAAAAAGAGATCAACTGCAACATTATAAATTATTTGTGAAATAATTAAATCAAAAAGGGTGCAATGATTCAAAATTAGTTTTCGAAAACTAAACAGCACAATTACGCTTAATAAAAATTTTAAGTTTTTACCAATTAATTTTACTTAATTTTTTTATCACGTATTGTTTTTGAATATTTGAACTTTTAATATCTAAAAAAAAACAAATGTAATGTACATAGTTCATAATGTATTTTTATAAAATGTTGAATTAGATACACCATATCTATGACCTATATTAAAATTTAATATCTTTATTAATTATCAATTAAGATACATAAACCAAAAATATAAGAAAACAAATTCTATATACATTTAATACAGAATATATTTACTTTCACTTTCCAAATTGAATTAATAATATAAATTATTTAAATGTTTTTTTGTTGGTTCATAATTTCAACTTGAGCTTGCGCAACAGTTTTCATTGCCTCTTGTGTGACACTTAAATTTTGTTTCCAAGAAAGAAGAATATCCCTAAGATTTTGCCATTGGGCTCTACCAAATGTCCTGTGCATTGTGGAAGAAATGAATACTTTCTTTGAAGTTTGATCTATGCGCACTCGCACCAACTTTGTTTTCAACACTTGGATGATAAATGGTTCTACCTCTTCTTCTTTAATTTGCAATTCGTCTTGAAGAGTTGCATAAGATATTTCTGAATGAGTTTCAGCCAATTGCATGAATGATAACAATCTCATTTTTTGCATGTTTTGCTCATGATTCAAACCTTGTGAATGCACAAATTCTTTGTGATTTTTATAGAACGTAATATAGCTTTGCAATTTTTCTGAAACAAATATTGATAGCAAATCGTGAATCAAATCTCCTTCTAAGAACCTTACAGGCTTTAAAGCAAGTAAAGGATCGAGCAAAAATGTATTGGGATCGGCTAATGCTGCTACGACACATTTTATTGCATCCTCCCTAGCATATGAAGCATTTGCATCTGTATATGTACCAAGTAGTTCAATCATAACTTTAGATGCTAATTCGCTCTGTGAATCTTTCAAAACGTCATGTAGCAGCCTGTATAATTTTTGCATTTGTTCAGTGCTCGGAGGACACTGAGCAAAATGCTGATTCAAATTTTCAACACTCTTAAACACTTCTGATACAGCGTTTGCTTGTTTTGCAACTTGAATAGCATGGTAATAGACGTGGTAACGGTTGGGTGATGTCTGTTCTAAGTTATTGAAAAGTCTCCATAGAGATTGGAGTGCTACTTGCTCTAAATTGTATTGTTGCGCTTTTGTAAGTTTTTCACAAAATGCTAAGATTAGGTTTTCTCCTCGTTCAAGAGAAATAGAAACCATAATTGACACAATGCTATTTAGAACAGCATCGATTTCCACATCGTTCCCTTCTTTGAAACAAGAATCGCAAACTGCAATAATTTTATGAAGGTCGTCTTCTATGCCTTTCGGTGACTTTTCCTCCGAGATTTCGGCTCCCATACCTTTGAAATATTTGCGTAATTCCTGCGCCTGATCTTCAAGGGATAAATCTATAAATACCGCTGGACCTTGCATTTTGATTTATTTTTATCAAAAATAAGTATAACAGCGACGTTTCAGTATTAAATAAAAACACAACACGTTGAAACTTATGCCAACCTATGCTATTTGTTTAGGTTAGAAATTTCTGAAGTGGATCCATAGATGGAAAAATTTTAGATGGCTCATATTCAAGCTATGTAATTTTATTCGCATAGATAAATCCACGAAACTGTCACTTGCTACGCTTCGGGCGCTCAGAGCGACTAAATGGTGAAACTAAATTATTGGCTTACTTCATTTTTACTAATTATTAATTTTCATGATAAATATAATAAAAAGGTAAAATACGTAATTTTAATCATTATTCTAAAGGAGGTATTTCTTTTATTAGATGCAATTGTGATCAACTTTGGCTCATTATGTACATAAGACTTCAGCAAACATATGTTTTAATCAGTTCTAAGTAAAATTTTTCATAACCGCAAGTTGCATGAACTAACCGATCAATTTAATCATTAAGAATTGATATTTAGCTATTTAGATAAAATATTCACCATTTGAAAAATGACATTCGCTCTCACTATACAATAATTGATACAATTTATCAGTTAAATTAATAATGTTAACACTTTTTATTAATTACGTTATTTTAGACCACAAATCTATCGGAAAAACATTTTTTATAAAAATTATCATTTTTTTAAAGTGATTACGAAAAAATTGCCCGGCCCATCTTTACCAAATATTAATAAACGCGATTACTAACCAATATCTTTCAAATAGCGTTTGATTTTATAAAATCAATTCAAAATTGAAGGCTAAAATGTGAACAAAAAATTTCACATTTCTCTGCTAATCATAAAATCGACTCATGTGCACACATGCCACATATATACATTTTACCATAATTAAAAAAGAGTATACTTTATTCAAACTTTGTTTAATTTGATTCAGAATGACTTGAAACGTTAAGAAAATATAAAATTTATAAATTGTTTTTTTTTTTGCAAAAACATAATATTATGGCAAAGCATAATATTAATTAAATATGTTGTCTGGCCATGCTAATGGCCCGGTCTCCACTGCACAAACGCGCACGGCGAATCCTGTTTCTATTATTATATAATTTACCTATTTTTTAATTTTTAATTTAACTATTAATTAATTATTATATAATTAATTAATAAAAAAGTAAATAAATTAATACGAGTTTTAAATTACCACCTTTGCATTCAAAAATGTCAATGTTACGAAAACTTTATGTTTAAAAACATTTAAAAACGTTTTAGAAAAAAGTAATTTAATTTAAATTTTATCCAGAACTTAATATATTTTCGATTTTCAAAAAAGCTACATGGGTAAAATAACTATACTTAATAAAAAGTGCTTATTTATCTATGAAAAAGTGATCTGACCTTCTTCAGGCGGACCTTCCTCTTCTTGTGGCACAACACAACACAAACAAACAATTGAACATTAAGGTATTTCCAAGAATGTCACCTTTGGGGCACGTTTTGATCTATCCAGAGAGCTGACCAACTTACAACTGACTAACTAACTCCCTGGCTGAAACCACAATATGTATCAGGTTTTGGGTCGGGTGGTTTAGCCTGGGTTTGGAAACCCTGTTCATATATATATATATATATATATATTTACCCTGTTTTTATAATATCTTTACCAAATTTATTGTTGTTCAACTATGTTAATTAAAATTATAACTTTCAATTTTTTTAAGAAATGGTAATTAAATTGCATTTTATATTATTGGAGTAATATTTATATCTTTTTTATATGCGAGTACTCGCAAATAAACATATATTTAAAGTTGAGGCATAAAATACAGAAATCTAAATTTAAATTATTTCCCCTGCTTAAACGATTATTAACGCATGCTTTATCTATCCGCCATCTATGAGTGAGAAGTACTACAGAATATTTGTTTTGGCATAACCAACTTCGCGCCCTAACGATAAATAGCATTTTGAGCCCGTTGCGTTGAAGTATTGTAAATATAGGTTATAATTAAGCTCCACTAAAAATTAAATACGCCGAGCGTTTACTGTAATTGAATTAGAAATAGGATTTTGAAATGGCATCAGGTTTAGAACAATACGTGAACCAAGTAGTTTCTATAATTACATCAGATGGAAGAAACTTTATAGGAACTTTGAAAGGCTTTGATCAAACTATAAACATAATACTTGACGAATCACACGAAAGGGTATTTTCTACTACTTCTGGAATAGAACAAGTTGTTCTAGGACTCCATATAATAAGAGGAGATAATATTGCTGTTATTGGACAAATAGATGAAGCAACAGATAGCAGATTAGATTTCGCCAATATTAGAGCAGAACCACTAAGTGCAGTCATCCACTAGCAAGAAATATATTTAAATTGTCATTATATAATTTATTTCTGAGAGATACCAATTTTTGTACAAAGTAGACTTATTTAATATTTAATAAATAGTCACAGAAGTTGAGTATATAAATTTTATTATTATTTATAAAAATATAATTATCTTAAGGCTATATGAATGAGACAAATATAAATTAAACAGTACACACATTTTCGAGAGCTTCAACCAAAAGTGGCAACCACATTATTGTAAAACTAGTTTTTGCAACTTCAAAAACATATATACAATGAGCTATATACATGATCTATATGATGGGTCAACAGAATTCATCTGCCATATGGATGTACTTGACTTGCACTTTTAATATTTGTTTTAATTGCGGAAGGAGCTTTTCCCATAACCATTTGCGGCTGCTGACCAGCAATTGGAGCATTGCTACGACCAGCACCGGAAACCATCATTCCAGAGCCAGGTGCTGGGCTTACCGAAGATCCATTTCCACCCATATTCATCTAATAATTTATACAAGTGTTGTTAAGAAGTATAAATATTACAAAAACAAGAATTACTTTTACTACCTTTAAACCTTTTCCCAATCCTACTGCTGCGACTAGTGTATTTGTGTCAGCAACACTGCTTGTTTGTTGAGCTCCTGCAATTAATTATTATATGTTCGGTAATCTATTAACCTCTATAATTATACATTTATTTTGTATTGTATATAATTTTCCTATGTAAACAAACCTCCTCTTGCAGATGCTTCAACTTCCCATTCTTCCCTGGCTTTGTTCACTATTTCCCAAATGTGTGTTACTACCTTTGTATACTGAGCCACTTGTTTCTGTTTCAAGAAATTAAATAAAATTACTAAAAGATGAACAAATAAAATAAAATGATACATTGAAGTGAACGATGCAGGACTGTAAAAGTATTTTTTTTAAATAATACTTTTGGGGAAAAGAATTTGATCCCCAAAAAGAACTGTAAAAGTATTTTTTTTTTAAATAATACATATGGGAAAAAGAATTTCATTTGAATTTGAATTATGATACTGAAGGATAAAATGTATAGTTTATATAATGTATAAAATGTCACAAACATTATTTTGCAAACTACTCTTATAATTAAATTATATTAATTCATTCTATTTTAAATGTAAGTTTATAATTAAAAATGCAATTACTGTGAATAAAGCATTTTAACTGCAGTCAGAGTTTTCATTTGTGATAGAATTTATAAACAATAGAAGAATGAATAAATTTTTGAATTGATTAATTATGAAAATTGTTAATACAATTTCAGAAATGGTTTTGATTATTTTAGATACTTCAAAGTCCTCATGTGAGTTCATTAAACTACATAATACATTTTGAGTATCATAAAACAATAATAAATACATTTATACCATATTTATCTTGAAATCTGTTAAAGATCATTTTTTGAGTTTCAAACTATACTAGCTTTTAATAAAAGTGTACTTTTATATCTTAACTTTTTCTTATAGATTTTTTAACTTTAACATGTTTCTTGGCACACATAATACAGGTTTTAAATAATTCTGTACGATCTACCTGTGCAGTGTCATAATTTAAACTAGCAGCCTTTTGCTCCAGTTGTAACATTTTCAATTCAGCACTTGGTTCGGGTTTTGTCCTCAACATATTTGGCACTAAGTCATGAGAAAATGTTGGAACACGATTTTCAGTAAGCTTGCATAGTTCATCGTCTCTATCTTGAATTAATAGCAAAGGTAACACAGTCAAGCTACGCAACTGAGGACCCATTTCAACTTGGAGAATTTTTGATAATCCTGTAAGCTATTGATAATATAAATATTTGAGGTCATTAATAACATAATCTAGCATAGAGTAATCTTGATGCATAAAACTTACATGACTTGATAATAAAGCAAAATTGTCCAGAAAAGAAGGCCAGTTAATAGTTTCATATTGAGTTTCTAAAATCATTATCATATGGCCTATGGAGTTTTTGATTTCATTTACTCTCATAATAATTGCATCAAGAATTGCTTCTTGTTGTTTCTCTTCGCGCTGCATTTTTAAATTATTTCAACTATATATTTCACACTCTAAAATATATTACTAAATATGTATTGTTTCATCAATAAGCATCGAAAGCATTTTTTTAAAGTCAGTTCAATTTTAACTCCACTTCATGCAGGAGAAACATTTATTCCAAACGTCAAATTTGACAATTTTCAACTACTTGTGATTATGGCATATAATAATAAATAAAGATAATAGTTGGACTTATCAATTTATTTTTTGTTTGTTATAAAAAATATATTGCTTATATTATAAGTGGTTATTTTTAAGTTAACGTTCAAAGACACAAAATATGGAGTCTTTTCAAGATCAATTTGATAACCTCAAAAAAGAAGAAGCCGAAATAGACCAGAAAATTCTTGAATTTCAGAATAAACAGAAAAATGGGTGAATTAATAAATAACAATACTAAATTATATATAAGTCATCATGCTGTTATTATTTTTTATTTAAAAAATATATTTCTATAGACAATTTGTCGACAAACAAACATACATGAAGTTGTTACATGAGTATAATGATTTGAAAGATGCCGCGCAAACCATGATTGGAGCTTTGGCAAATATTAAGGTTTGTAAATGAAAATTATATAACAGTTTTTAGAAAATTATTCATTATTTACAATATATATCGATTTAATTATTTATTTATTTAATTAATTAATTGTTATTTATTTCAGGGTGTCACAGTGGCCGCTGTACACAATCAATATAATTTACCAACAGATGATTAGAATTGTAAATTTACGTTAAGTTAACTCTTGACATTGAAATAAATTTTTATATTTTTGAAAGTAGTTTTTATTTGAAATATACTATAATTGGCACTTATTTTACTTAGTTTATTAGAGATACAAACATTTTCACTACTACAAGATGAGTCACCGTATAAAATCACTCCATATTGAAGTCATTGATTATAAAATAAAATAGTGGTGTATGGTGTATGGGTATCGTGCCTCAAGACAAATTGCTAGAACTTCCCGTACCATAATAAAATATTCGTAAAAAAAATTAGCAAAAAAGCTTATTTTTCTGAAATTAAAAGAAAATGAACAAAAAAATCTTCCCCAAAAGCAATCATTTCGTCAACACAAGCAGAATGTTTTTTTGAATCATTCAAATCGGATACTTAAAGTTATCTCAAAAACTGCCATTTTTGCATATTTATCTGTATCTCCAAAACTGCTGGACCTGCCTTTGCACAAATCTAATCACTACTTCTCCTCATCATTGCAAATTGAATATGTTTTGGATCATTCCAATTGGATGCTTCGTTCTCTCAAAAACACGTTTTCTATTTTCTGCACTCTTTGCTCCGTATATCCGAAACGGCTGGCCCTGCCTTAGCCAAAAACTAATCTGCACATATTCCTATCAATAGGAGTCGAATATTTTTTTAACCATTTAAATCGGTTGATCTGTGCGCCCGAAAACGTGAATGAAAAATTGCATCCATACATACATACATACACATACCCACTCAAATACCCACACAGACACACACACACAACAATCCATTTTTTCTAAGGTATGCCAAAACGCTCAGAAACCTCTGAAACGTTAAGATATGCAAAAATTTTCAATTTCGATTACCCTACGGGAAGTTAATTATAAAAACATTTTCTTATTAATAAAATTTCATCATTTTCATGTAAACTAATATAACATAATAAGCATTAAAATTTTTCAAAAAATTTCACTACTACATAAGTCACAATATAAGTATTAAAATTGATTATAAAATAACTATAATAAATAATAACAACATTTTGTTAATAATGAAATTCTATGAATTTCATGTGAACTGAAATAACATAATATATTATTAATTAATTAATTTAATAATGATTCAAACTAATATGTTTTTGGTAAATAAAAAGCCATAACTATTATATCAAGCGCTTGAAAATGCATATGAAAAATATAGGGAAAGTACAGGGTGTGCCATTTATATTTGGCCAATGGAAAAAGTTGAATAATTTAAGAACTTGAATAGTTTTCAATGAATTTTTATAAACTTTTACATTACTTAGTTTACATTATTTAGTCTTACATTTTTTCCAGCTAGGTTCGATAAACAAGCCTGTAAACAATTATTTAAATACCGGGGTGGTTAATGTGCCCATACCCTTTGTACTTATTATTAAAATCTCTATAAAATATCCTATAATTTGGTGTGCGAATGTCTAACAATTATTTTTGAGGGCTAAATGACATTTTTTCATTTTTTCTGGATCTCCGAAGCCGCTGAATCTGTCTTCAAAAAATTTTCATAAATTTTTCATTCCGTCAATACAAGTGAAATGTTTTTTGAATCATTCAAATCAGTCGCTCCGTATTCTCAAACACTGAATTGCCATTATTGGCACTTTTTGCACCGTATCTTAAAAAACGACTGGACCTGGCATTGTCAAAAACTAATCAGCACGTCTCGAAATACGAATCTGTTTTACGAAAACTGTTTTTTTATCAATTTAAATCCGTTGATCCGCGCTCCCGAAAACGTCGACAAAATATTGTATTCACACATACATACGCACACTTGCACATGCAATGCTGGATTTACAGTAGAGGCAGTCGGGGCTAGTGACCAGGGCGGCAAATTTTTTAGGGCGGCAAAATTTGGAAATTAAGTAAAAAATTATATCTATAGAACAAGTATATATAATGCGCGATAAATTTTCTGCAATCAAATAGTTATTTAATTTTAGAAAAATAAGACATAAAAATCGGGCGGAATTTTCGTCAGTACCCCAGGCCAAATTTATAAATCCGGCAACATGCCTCCATTTTTTCTGAGAAATGCCAAAATGTTCAAAAACAAAGAATTTATTTTCGATTTTTCTGCGATTTCTATACTTATCTTATTAACTTACTTACGTAAAGTTAACAATATTTTATCAATACAGTATTTACACTAATTATGGCACTAAAATGATATATCCATAGTTATTACATATTTATATTCCTTTAAGTAAGTATATAGTATCGTAATTTAATATATATTATAACGTTCGATTATAAAAACTCAATTTAGGCAATAAGGTCATCTATCAATAGTAAGACTTTCATGTGTTTGGCAATTTTGCAAATTGTGCATATATTTGATATGATATACTTATTAGCTTCCAAGTAAAAACAATGCAAGTCATTTGTGCAGACTTTTTTCGTCATTTTTCTGTTTTAAAAATTATTTGCTAATTTTATGTATTGCTCGACGTTTCAAGATATACTGAATCGTTTGAGAACAAAAATGTAAAAATAATATGTGTGCTGCAATTGAGTGTGTGCATAGATATAAGAAGATAGTGTGAACCATAGATAAATAAACATAAACCAAAATTTGAACTGAAAAAGGGGCCACTTTATTCAATGATATCTCGGCCATAAGGTGAGGTACAAAGTTAAAAATTGGTATATCGGATTTTTTCAAAAAGACGTCCTTCATTCCGATTTTTTCAAAAAAGTGCGTATAAATTATTTAAATATCTGAAGGTGTATAATTTAAATACGTAGGGGTGTAAACCAAAACCTGACCTTTCGTCTACGCACACTGAAATGGCTGCACCTATTTCCGAAAAATTTAAGAGTCGTTTGATGTAACTTGGGTTGATTAGTTTTTTGCGACCATAGATCAAGCCATTTTTTCAGAATAAACAGAAAAGTGCAAATTTGTCATCTACGTTTAGTCAAATATCCTGAATCTTGTTAAAAATTTATAAACGGTTAGCAAAATATTAGGAATTATACTGATTTGTATTTGGTAAAGAACCTTTCTTTATGATTAATTATTTATACGTTAGTATAAATTAATTATACGTTTAGTTGTTCAAACATGCGGAACGTTTCTTCGTAATTAATTGCTAAATTTGACGATTTTGAAGAAATATGCTCGGTTATAGAGTTCCTGATCTTAACTGACCTGCTAAAATATTTAATTATTTTATTGAAAAGTGGTTTAATTATAAAAAATCATTAAAATTTGGAATAGTGAACCGCACTATTGAGTACACTCCGTGCTCGCCGTGTACATTCCGTTCTGTGTATTTTGTACTGATCGCCGTTGACATTTAAACGTAAGTGAAATGATAAAATATATTTTCAGAGCACGTGGTAGAATAAAATGTGTTAAATAACAAATTGAATTATAGCGTGTATTTGAAAGATATCAATCTTCTACTGTTCTTATAGATAATTGTATGATCTATGTAGAATAAAAAATAATTGAATTCCTTTATGAAAAATTCATTGAAATAATTTTTTTTGGAAAGGTAGGTACAACAAAAAAAGTAGAAAAGAATACCATTTGGAGGTCAAAAATAATCATTCAACATATGCGCATCAAATTATTAAATGCAATCAAAAATTTTAAGATGCATTGTGAACGCACCCTGGTATGTTACAAATGACACCCTACATAAAGACTTAAAAATAAAAACTATTAAAGAAATGTTAAAAGAAAGGAGCAAAAGATACCATGAAAAACTACCAGGTCACCCAAACACTTATTTAAAAGAGTTAAGCGAGGAATATCCGACACGCAGATTGAAAAAAAAATGGCCATTCGACCTTAAATAAATGTCAAAAATAAAAATATAAAAGAGAGATATCTCATAGGAGATAATCTCTTATATGCATTAAAACCAACATCACATTGTCTTAAAAAATGTATTTAATTTTGATTGACAATAAAAGTATGCAAAAAAAAAAAAAAATTATTAAATTTTTTATAGAGATTTTAATAATTTTCTGTAATAGCAGTAATTTTCTTAACATTTTTATGGTTCTGTGCCAAGATCTATATTATTTATCCGTCAGGCTAAGACGCGGCGCTTACGCGCTTCGGTATTTTATCTCTAAAACATCTACGTAGGCGACTGCTTTGAAAAAAAAAAATCGAAATTTCCGATAATCAAAAAATTTACACAAAATGTGTACACATTATTAAAATCTCTATAAAATATCTGATAATTTGATGTACATATGTCCAATAAATGTGTGCCCGAAATCGTCGATGAAAATTTGTATCCGCACACACACACACACACATTCACACACATACATCCATTTTTTTAAGGTATGCCAAAATGTTCAAAAATCTCTGAAACGTAAAGATATATAAAAATACGGGAATAAGTTAATTGGAACTTTATTTTTTAACTTCCCATAGGGTAAGTTATAGTAATCGCAAAAAAATCGAAAATGAAAATGTTTATATATTTTTACGTTTCAGATGTTTCTGAACATTTTGGCATACCTTGTGCGTGTGTGTGTTCGGATACAATTTTCGTCGACAATTTCGAGAACACGGTTTAAACGATTTCCTGATTCAAAAAACATTCGATTCCTATTGGTGAAGAGACGTACTGGTTAGTTTTTGGCAAAAGCAGGTCTAGCCGTTTCGAAGATATTAGGCAAAAAGTGCCAAGAACGGTAACTCAGATTTTAAGAGAATGAAGCGTTGGATTTTAATAATTCAAAAAACATTTTACTTGTATTGACAAGATGAAGAACTGATTAAATTTTTGGAAAGACAGGTCTAGCGGATTCGGAAATCTAGTAAAAAAGTAAAAAAATGCTATTTGGCGGTTAAAAATTATCATTAGACACATGCACATCAAATTATCAGATATTTGGAGATTTTAATAATATATATAAATTTTGTTTACATTTCTATGGGTTCCGTAACGTTATTGGACGTTAGACGGCGACGCGGCGTTTACGCGCTTCGATGTTTCGTCTCTATGCAGCTAAGCAATGCGATTGCTTTGAAAAAAGTTCAAAGTTTCCAAAATATTTCAAAATAAAAAGTTTTTTTTCCAAAAATTAAATCTTTTTTAAAAAACTTAATTTTTGGTACGGAAAGTTCCAGCAATTTGCCTTAAGGCACGATGCCATACATCACAGTTACTATTTTTTTTGTAAAAAGATAATCTTGAATAAATCGAAAGAGCTAATTTATAAATTAGGTACCTGCACTGTATGAGACAAAGTGAACAAAGCATACTTCAAATATTTATTGCAAATTTATATTTGTATTTGAATTCGCAAACATCGCGATCAAATGTGGATGTCGATTGCGGGAGCTGTACATTGTTATCGTTACAAAGCCGCGTAGTTAAGACCGATACTTCCATGAGGTTACAACGAATATTAATTATTAAATTAAAATTAATTTCGATCATAATAATAATAATAAGTGTGACATAAAATAAGTGAAAATTATTAATATTATATTGTCATTGACAAAAGTTTGGAATGTGTAAAAAATAAAAGACAATCCACAATTTGATCTTCATTTTGCGGTAAGTAAGGCTTTAATATGTTAAGGTCATCGATATTTAAAGGTTGTTTTCAATATTAAAAAATTGTTAACATAAGGGATTAATTTATGAAGAGGAGTTTATTTGGCTGCGGTACATTTTTGTTCAAGTTGCCAGCACTATTTTTTTCATTGAATATATGCAGTTCAATAAATTAGTTGCCATAACCAGTTATCAAAAATTATTTATTGACAAATTTTCAAAACAATTTTTATCGACTTATCGTACTTATGAAACTTAAAAAGGTACTTAGTCAAAAAAATTGATTCAATACAATAAATTCTACTAAACTCTGCAAATATGCAGATGATGCTTGAGTTAGTCACATTTAGTGTATTTAAAATTTAAAAAACATGTGACTAACTATATAAGTTAATTATTATTAACTTCCCGTAGGGCAAGTTATAGTAATCGCAAAAAAATCGAAAATGAAAATTTTTATATATCTTTACGTTTCAGAGGTTTCTGAACATTTTGGCAT